AAGAATGGGAGAAAACATCGCCTCATAACACGGCGGTTAGCTTTTTGTGCGTGGGTCCTAGAACGAATAATAGCAATCTGTTTTGTCTCGACACTCGTCTAACGTGACACCGATCAAGAGGCGGAGGGCGACCGTGGATATCTCTCCGGCCCCTTATTGTGCCCTATCCAGCCGTTTTCCGACCTCATTCCTGTACGAATGGTACCAGAGGGGGCTTCGAATTCAAACCATGCGCAAATCTCCGAACCACTTTTTTGTAACAGTGCCTTTAAAAAGAAGGATTTATGGTAGAAACTCACCCCTTTCCTCTTTCGCTCGTTAACAAATTGACGCCGTTTGTTTTGGATTGATAGTAACAATGAAATGAAAGTGTTCTTCATTTCTTTTTCATATTCCAGCTCATCTCTAAAAATAGTGAATACCGTAAAAAAGGTGGACTGGAGTACTGTTGAATGCAGTAAACATCTCAAATACATGGGCTGAGTCACTGGGACAATTAAGCAATGTCATGGTTTTTTGGAGAGACTCATCTGAAGAAAGAAAGTTACCTCATCATATTTTTTTTTCGAAATTCCGTCTTTTGTCAATGTAGATCTCAAGCGGAGAGCTAATGACAGTGTACGTGCTCGATGTAAAAGTTCAGAGGTTTTTGTGATTAGCTGAACGGCTATGGTGGTTTCTCAAAGGAGGATTTGTACAGAATCGCTTCAGATCTCGAAATACGTGGAAACCCCTCCCACAGTAACGATAGCTCTGCCCACTTGGACAAGCCAGGGCATCACAGAAGAGAGATCGTTGCCCAAAAACTGGCGGCCCTCATAACTTGATTTCTTTCATTCATCACTCAGCATACTTGAGTTATCCTACACATTTTGTGTTGGCCAAAGAGATTCCAACGCAAACTATTGGTTCTGTCTCACCTGTGAGCCAATTCATCGACAAGGCTTTCATTATAGACTTGAATAAGCTGTTCCATCTCAGCGTTTAACGTCACCAGTTTTGAATACGATAACTCATTCAGATCTGAAAGCATAGGTTTAGTGCTGAAGGAATCGTCAAAAAACTTTCCTGCCGAGCAAAGCTTTGTCACAGATAACTAAGGTTTGTGCTGTTATGGTATAGGCAATCGGATCCCATTTTTCATTTGGACAATATTCATCACAAAATATTCAGCGCAGAACAACGAAATCGGAAAATCTTCATCTTCTTCTCCAGATCGCTCGTAGCTTTTTCTTTTTTCTTGAGCCTGGAAATTTGAGCAACGGGCTGTCGTGCTTTGCTATCCCATTTCTAGGAAAATTCGAGATGGCTAACATTCAAACAGACATGCACATTGCTTTCAAGCTCGGAATATCGACTGGCTGGCTGTAACAACTTCAAATGGGCTCCCAACACACTAAAAACAGTCATTTCACTGGGCATTGCGCTTGAAGTGTAACGTTCGTAGTGCATGGCTTTATGAGAAATCATCCGAGAATCATTCCCTTAGTATGCGTTCGATATTGATGGCTTTTGGCCTTTTCTGGGTTTCCTCTCCCGCTCTTCTCCCGTATTCGACTTCAGTTCAGAATCGTAGTCGCGTTTTGAATAGCACGTGGCCTACCCAATAACTTGCGATGTTCAGTCGATGGCTTTTATCCTCCCGGACAAGCTTTTATCGAAGATGCTAAGGTAACTCAAGAATGGGTGACATTCTGGTGTGACAAAAGTTACTATCATCCGGGCTATGCATACATGACACCGTTCAAAGACTTTTCTGACCCAGGCAATCCGACTCATGTGCGCAGAGTTATCCGATATAGAGGACCGTTCCATTCACAGAGCGAATAGGAGGGCGGTGCAGAGTGTGGCTCAGCCCAGCTCACATTTAGTGTCCAGGTTCTGTGAGACTGTCTAGTGAATGAGACGCCTTTTGAAGACAGAACCGTACATGTGAACAAACCCACAAAAAAAAACCAAGGATCAAACCCTACCCTCCAATGCACCAGCGGGATCTTTAACTATGAACCGGATAGTAGCGTGCATCAAAGCTTATGGATATGTCGGAATCAAAAACAACAACAGTGCAAGTGCTGAGACCAGTCACCATAACATTCCTAACACTATCTAATCAGCTATCACCCACCAAACCAACACAAAACACCATCCTCTACAATCGCAACATATTTCTTTGAAAATGCGTTCAATCACACACAAAATATGTTGCGTAGAATGTCACTAACATTGTCTTTTTTATAAGGATACGGTAGAAAAAAAGACAAGTTTAGCTATACCAAACACAATACAAATAGAATGAAGGATTACCGGCAAGGGATTCATTGTTGGCGTCTGCAAGATGAAAACATTTTGATTTAGTGGTTAAGTAAGTTTTGACTTCAGTACTTGAATTCCCATTTGGGAAACACCGATCATTTCCTATACCATAAAAGCTTAAACCTCAAAAAGACAAAAATAGGCGAACGAAAATGATGAAGCTTTTCAGAGCGAAGACAGATAGCCGTGACTGGTCATTACCCAGGGTGGGTAATGACCAATCACGGCTTGAATCACTACCCCATGTGGGTGGTGCATTCGGGATCGTTCATTTTTCATTACGAACGCTCTACAGTGTCCCGAAAGAAACTCAAGTTTTGTGGTAATGTGAAACGGAGCAGTACCTAGTAAACAGAGGTAAACTGAACCTTTATGAAAGGACCAAGATGCCTGTTACAATTCAGAAAAGAATCGCATACATGGCGTATCCCAGGGAGGGAATGAAACGCCTCTTACATAACTGTTTTACAGGAAATGGCATAGACAAAGAGCGAGGGGTACTAAGTGACAAGTGGAGCCAGAGCATGCTGGGATAGGTGAGTTTCTTTGGGGACACTGCCTTTTTCGACTTCAAAAGGTGCAAAGCAAGCGTTTTTGATAGATCACAGTGGAGAAGCTTTTTGATAGCTAACTTATTGAAGAACATACTTTCAGGATTAGCGGCAAGCGCTTGAGCTTGGCGTAGTTTCATGTCAGCATCACTGGAATGTCCTGATGGTAGAGGTGACCGCATTGATGAATACATGCTGTCAACGGATTCCATTGTTCGATCCGTCATCATTGACCCAGTAAAATCGCACGACTGAAAAGAAACGTTTTTTCAATAAAACCAATCAATAAAGGTTCCACAAATAAGCGATTCTTCACGATGGAAATGTAAATATTTATGAAGTTGGATTATTATTGTTTTCATTTTGAAACGAATTTGGCGGTAGCAGAATCAACAAGACTGCTAATGTATGAGCACAATTAATAGGGGGATTCAGGCTAGAGTTACGGCGCACGCGTTCCAATCTTCTTTAAAAACCCCTCCCATGTCTCGAACTCCACCTATTCGTCGTCGACAAGAAAGTGATGTCCTTAGGCAATAAGAGGGATATCGGTTACCATCTCTATACCTTGGAAAAGCCGACAATGGACTGACTTATAGCTCGTTCCTGAGTATCAATCACAAGTAGAGTTTACCATGGATCGGCTGGTGTACCTACTTCTCATTGGGATATTTTAGTGAAACCTTCTCAATTTCCCCCTCTTCTCCCAAATATATCCAGCTCATTCGCAAGGTAGCCTGTTTCTTGGGATCACTATCAACTCCCTCTCAGCCCAGGCGTCAGCGTGAAGCAATTCCTGAAAATGTCCCAGCACATCTCCTTAGCCCCATTCTTTTTTCACAGTACTGGAAAACGCTTTAGCAAACGACTGGATCATAGTAACAGGTAGGCGCAAGATCCCCCGAGTTCACTGCAAGCCTCCTAATTTTAATGCAATACTGAAAACAGCGACCAATTATTCACGCAGTGGGAAATGCTTCAGTTGAAGAATAGTCAATTGTTTACGCTACTATGGGGCCAGTTCGTCAAAACAATTCATGAGAATTGAATGGCAGCATCATTGCTGGCGATGACTGGGTTTACGCCATGCCGAGCGGCATGCCATTGCTGTGGAATAACTATATAAAACATCCATCAAAGGCATGGCGCACCACTGTCACTTGAATCATGCGATTTTCAGGTAATTTCAGATAGAGGATAGAGTCAAGAGGTCCATAACATGTCCTCTGTCCCAGAGGGATACAACACAAGAATCACTGGGAACTCATCTGGGGCGGTGAAGCACGATCAGACTCGGGCGTTCCGAACACACCCTGTAGCTGTGTGTCGTAAACATCTCTATGTGGTTCGAGTGTCCTATGCCATAAAAGTACAGGGCATGGCTCATCTCCAAAGGCACGTCGACGGATATTCAATTGCGTCTGCTCGGAAACGGCAATTAAGAATTCCAGTATTACGCAAATTGTTTTTTGGG